GGAAAAATTAATTAGGCGACGGTTAAACGAAACCACGAATTCCAACCACGTTTTCCTCCGAAATTCTCAAGTGTTTATGTTTTCTTATTTTGTAGAGCTTTAGTTATTTTCCTTATTTTTCAAAACCAAATCTTTATTTTGTGTATATTTTTATTGTTGAAATTAAATTGATTAAAGTTGTAAAATCTAAAAGGGTATATTCAATTGAGACTTTGAATAATTTTTTGGGATTTAAAAAGTTTAAAGGTATTCGATTGAGACTTTTTGACATTCTCTAAAAGTCATGATATATTCAATCGAAAATTTTATAGACTTTTAAAAAGTTTCTAAAATTTGTCTTTCTTTTTCTCTCTTATTATGTATTTATTTTCTATGAAAAAATTAAGTTAAGTTCTTTTAGATTTTTTTCCTTTTTTCATTCATTTTTTTGTGAAAAATATCTATTTTTTAATTAAATTATAAAATTTTATATTTACATTTAAATATATTGATTTTTATTTATTTTTAAATGTATATATATATATATATATATATATGGCTTTTGAGTTACTTATCCAAATATCTCACACCTGGACCCCAACCCACGTTACAACCTGTGGAAAAAAACCTTACGATTTGTTTAATGTATGTGATTATATATATATATATATATATATATATATTATTTAATTAAGGTCTTAAATTTTTATTTTTTTTTTTAAATTTCTTTTTATTATATGGAAAGAAAAAGGTGAAGGAAAAGGAGAATTGTGAGAACTAATACCTCGTATGTGAGGATTTCACACCAGATTCACATGAATTCTATTTCAAATGAAAGTTTTCAAAAGTTTTTTTGAATTCCACAAGGTTTATAAAAATTTTAAAATGAAAATCCATAGAAGTCTACGAAAGACTTCCACTAATTCTATACAAATTTATAAAAGATCCACGAAATTTACAAAAGTTATCATTTAAAAAAAGTCCATCAAAATTTTCAAAAGTCCCAATTGAATACTTCCCCCTAAAGTAATCGTTCATCAAGGGATCAACAACTCGAACTAAAAAATCCACTTTATCACTTGAATGCAACCTTTGAACTTGCGATTTGCACTTAACTAACAAATTTTTGGCACCATTCCCGGAAAATTTTTCACTTTGATTACCACGTTAGTTAATTTTAGATTTAAAAATTTCTTTTTATTTATCTTTGTGTACTTTGGCTAACCCCTCGTATTTTTAATTTATCTAAGTATTTTCTCATACTTTTCATCTATTTTTGCACAATTCTGATTTCTGAAAAATAAAAATGTTTTTGTAATTTCTAATCTCTACATTGACTATGGATATATACTTGGAGGTCCAAGATGTGAAATTTGTCAAGCAATGCATTGTACAGGGCAATGTTTGTATTCTTGCATCGATGCCTTAATGTCAAAACTTTTTTGGTTTAGACAATATTTGAAGTATCGAAAACAAGCACTGGACAATTTTGATGGTAGATACATGTTCACGAGATATTATGTACCTAACAATTGGGACGAGGACATCAAATTTTCAGGAGATGATCCTCCAGAAGGTACTTGCAAATTATTACAATAAACTACCAAGTTGAATGAGGAGGACATGCTTATGAGAGATTACAAATATTGGGATGGATTTCAAAAGTGGGGGTATAATCCATTCGATGGGGTTAATAAGAAAAACTTGTCATTGCCCGTGGAGTTTGATTGTGGAGCAATCATTCAACCTAATGAGAGTTCAACCCGTGAAGAAAAGCCTAAAATGAATGAAAATTTAATCACAATGGAGCTAAACGAGGATGTAGCAATCAATGAGAAGAAAATTAACTTACATTTTTCCGACTTAGTTGAGTGCCAAGAAATTGATTTTGTGATTAAGCCCAATGAGGAGGTAGAAATCTTCATAGTGGAATTTGAATTGGATGGAATAGACAAGTCCTATTATATGGAAAGGGATGATGTCGAGTTTTGAAGATCAAATGAATAGTGGAACAAAGCCAAAAGAAGAAAAATGAGTAAGGCATCTAAAGCCTTCTTTAAGTGCCACTGATTCAATTGCCAAATTCAAGCTAAACACTATAAAAAAGCTCTTGTTGGGAGGCAACCCAATTTTTCTAACTTTTAATTTATGGAGAAAGTTTTGAATTGGTAGAACTAGGTTGTGAGTTGTTGAAAATTTATATTAACCTATATCTACTTCTCTTTCATTTAAGGATATTGTAAGATAAGTTTAGAAGTGGTCAAGTAGGTGAAGGATATTATCTAGAAGTGTGTTGATTTCATGCATAGTGAAAATATTTGTGTGGAGTGTCTATTACCAAGTATAAGCTAGGTAATGACCTTATATAGTAGGGATCCAAGCCCCATGTGTTAAACTGTGCTTAAAAGAATGATATTGCACTTGTTGAATCTTAGGCCTTACTTCGTAGGCTATTTCACTTGAGTTATTAAGTCTGTTAGGGTATTTTGAAACCCATGTACCATTTGATCTAAACAAACGGGGAGCTATCGACCTAAAAATCACTACAACGGTAAAAAAGAAAGTTTAATGGAGTGAGATAAAACATTTAATTGAAGAAGAAAAAATTGTTATTGTATAATTATATTTGATAATTGGGCTTAGATAACTAGTGAGTTTAAATTTAACTAGATGTCGATATTTTTAGTTAGACCCAACAAAATTAGAGCATTGAAAAAAATGAGTGAATTGTGAGCAAATTTTAGATTTACACTTGGGGAAAGAAAATGAATAGTTATTTGAGGAGTGTAAATCTCATGAGCGGAAAACGAAAATATTTGACCACAAAGGGTCAGGTTGAAGTCAATTTTGAAATTTTTTTCGTCTTGACTATTTTTTCTAATTTAGATGATCATTAAAAGTGACTATGCGCGCACAAACGCACACATATCAAACATTAGATAAGCTTAAAGTATTTTTGATAGCATTATTTGGAGCATATTTGTTAATGGATTATACAATTTCAAACTATTGGATATTTTGGCAAGCTATCTAATGTGCTAATTATTATTATGTATTGTTTGATTGTGTTATAGATAATCTTGCTCGGGACGAACAAGATCATAAGTTTGGAAGTATTTGATAGGGTTGTTTTTGCATACTTATTAGATACTTTAACAAGCTAATTATTGATTAAATTGAGCAAATTTCTATCCACAATTGTTTAATTATGGCTTTTGTAAGTTAAAACCCCAAAATGAAAGAGAATAAGGCAAAATGAGAAAAAATGATTAAAAAGAGTACAAAATTTGTGAAGTTGGGGACCAAAATGAACAAGTGTAGAAATTTTACTATGGTCGCAATTTATGGAAGGCATAATTGAAATAAAACTCAAAAATTGAGGAACAAATTGTACAACATTAAGGTTGAGGGATTTTGAGTGCAAATTATGAAGGATTTGTGTGAAAAAAAAAAAAGGGACAAAAGTTTGGTGATGACAGAGAGTGGGCCCCTAGGCGCCACTGCAAGACCCGGGGACCGACTTTATTGTTTTTCCAAAATTTAAGGACTTGGATGCAATTTTTCTAGTTAGCTTCTTCT